AACTGGCCATTACTTTACAAATAAGAATGAAGTAAAACCAAATTACAATCATATCATTATTTTTTAAATTTGGAACAGCTTTGTTTTGTTTTGTTAATAAGGAATTGTCATTTTTAATACGATTTTTAACCAAAATGTTCTCAAATGTAGAACACTTAGACTTATTGGAAGCATATTATTTAAATGGTAAAAACTGTAAAAGCTGCTTTGCAGTGGTATAGAGTCAAATATCCTTTACGAAGAATGCCCACCAGAAAGGTTATAACAAATATTTTAAGGAATCTTGAAGAATGTGGCTCCTTTAGCAAAAAATAATCTAGAATAACTGATTACAAAATATGTCCCTACAAAATGTATGATAAAAAGTTTTTTTGCGATTTTTGACATTTCAAGTACCTTACCTCAGTTGGTCCTGTGGAGACTATTGATCCTTATCAGAGACCGGATCGAATAGCATAAAATAAGTTTTGTAAAATTTGTCTTTTATCTAGCTGACTGTACATTTTTTTCAAAATCTGTGAATGTCAGTCAAAATATCTTTAAAATTCATGGACAGTCTTCTAGAACCGTTTTCCTGTAACTACAACGATTAAGGTAGCTGTCCTTGCTGCCCCGTGTCAAATTTACACCCTATATTGCCTAAACAAGCCCAGCATTGTGCAGAATGACTAAGTATTGTATAGAATAACTGAATTTACACATTACCGTTAACAGTATGATACTTAATAAGCACATTACATGAGTTCCATTAGTTTCCCTCATAATGGCTTTCAAAAGAATTGGATTCTTTTTAGAAACAGTCTTAATATTGGTGACTACAGTACTTTTTATAAGAGTTAGTTTTATTCACTTATTGCTCCATAAATATGGAGAGTTTAACATATCTAAAACTTGAAACTTGCAGATAAAATGCTCTACAGTGCGCTATGGTCTTGGTGTCACCCGAGAAGTGGGGCTAGACTTGGTGAATCTTGGAGTTAAAAATGTCTGTGTCATGACAGACTCAAACCTAGTCTCTTTAAGCCCTGTGCAAGCTGTTTTAGACTCACTGACACGGAATGGTATAAACTATAAAGTCTATGATAAAGTTCGTGTCGAGCCTACTGATACAAGGTAATAACTTATTGATTTATCAATGTGTAGCAGAAAATATATAATACAATATTAGAAGCTGTTTAGAAATCATCAACTTTTTTAAGGAAAATATTTATTACCGGCACAATTAATTATTATTCCAAATATTTACATACTATCATAATGTTTTCCTAATGTTTTTTCCAAAGTATTATATTCATTAGGTATAAATGTACAAACATAAATGTAAACACACACAGAATGTTTTATTTTGTATCTTTTGTCCATAACTGTCTGTGTGCAAAAAGTGTATAATATTTTGATTTGTATGATATCCAAACTGTCCAATTGGGCCTAACTATAAAAAATATTTGAATTTTCAGTTTCAAAGATGCAATCCAGTTCGCCAAAGACGGCAACTTTGATAGTTTCGTTGCCGTCGGTGGCGGGTCCGTGATGGACACTTGTAAGGCTGCCAATTTGTACTACAGTGATCCAGCTGCGGAATTCCTAGACTACGTCAATGCTCCTGTGGGGAAAGGCAAGCCAGTTCAGGTACAATTGAAGCCGATGATTGCGAGTAAGTATAGTATATATCTTTAAAATGCATTTTCATTTGAGAGTAAAACATGCCTTAATAGCAGGGTTCGAAGTGATAACAACATAATAATTATCTTGATAAATATACCTCAATATTTATCAAATTAATTGGTTATTTTTTATTATTTTTCATTATTGTGTCATGTGTTTGTATAAAAAATATTTCCAAGAATGTCAAAGGTCTATTTTCAAAAGTCACAAACTAAATCGTTTACCCAAAGATTATTGTTCGTGTATATAAAGTTTTCTCAATGTTTTTCATTTTTAGTTAAAAATAAAAGAGACATAATCTCAGTACAGAGTATTAAAAAATCGACCCCAAAAATCATTCATCCCCTAGTTTGCCACCCTTAGGACGCCTCTCGCCACCGCGAGCATTCGAGCAAGCATTACAACGGTGAGGGAGGAGAACTGAGCATTCCTTGCGGAACACTTGTACCATTCGGTAGCCTCCTTCAGAGGGTGTATTCGCCTGTGAGGTGGAATAATTTCTTGAAATTTGAAAATGGGACTACTACTACCTTCTTTTCAACAAAAAAAGAATCGTCAAAAGCAGTACACAAAAAGGAGTTATCGTGTAACATGCACATACAAAAAATAACATACAGTCGAATTGAGAACCTCCTTCTTTTTTTGAAATCGGTTAAAAACTACATATCAGCCTAAATAATTATCGCATATATTTCGGATAATTATCAATGAAAATAAATACCTTGCATAATTTCGAACCCTACTTAATAGACAAAGCCTAGGTAGCAGTGGCGAGGCGCCCATATAACCGGATTTCCACCGGCTTGCCTAAAATTTTCCACGTATCTTTAAGTGTGGAATACGTGAACAAGTATACTAGAACCTTGTGTGCTAATAAGTTGTGTTTAAGTGTTGCCAAGGCGCCGCCACTTTTTCTTAAAGTAGATGTTTTTTGTTTTGTTCCGGTTTCACTAACGACAATTTTCACGCCTCGCTACTGCTAGGTATAGCCATTTATCTATACATATTTCTTTACAAAAAGTGCATTGCAAGTCAATAGCAGTGAATAAAATATCAGAGCCAATCTAGTCTTATTTATGCTTGTAATCTTAACAGTAACTTGTAATAAGATTTTTTTAAGATCTCTCATCTGAATTTATTTTCATATAGTTCCAACAACAAGCGGCACGGGCAGTGAAACGACAGGCGTTTCGATATTCGATTATGAAGAGATACACGCCAAGACCGGTATATCACACGGAGCTCTACGCCCCATCCTAGCGATCATTGACCCTCTCCACACCCTGAGCTTGCCTGAAAAAGTGTCCAATTACTGTGGCTTTGACATCTTTTGCCATGCATTGGAAAGTTTCACTGCAATACCGTACACAGAGCGAGGACCTGCTCCTTTAAATCCATCTTTGAGACCAGCCTATCAGGGTAGCAATCCTATATCCGACGTATGGGCCCGATTTTGTCTGCAGGTATTTATTCTTACTCCAAACATACCTATATGAGATCACAGAATTACTTAGAAAAATTAAAACAAAGCTGCTTGTATATTATGCAAATGAAAAGAAGGACATTCTCTCATTAATGAATATACTAATTTTATCATTATAATAATATCGTCAGTTTAAAGGTAAAACCACATAAGTGACCTTTTTCACAAAAAGTCTTTAATTTATATAGCTATGGTAAGAAAATTACTACTAATCTTTCTGCACGTAAAACTAACAAAAAGCTATAAACTCATTAAGAGTTTCATCTGCAGAAAGTTTGTGAATTTCTTACAACCTACCTACATAATTTGGAGATTTTGTGGAAAATGTCACTTACGTGGTTTTACCTTTAAGCAGACGATACAAATTTATATTTTTTTCATTATAATTATTTTTTTGTAATAAAATAGTCTTTTTATTAAATTATATTTTTTTGATTCCAACTAGAATATTCAGGAGTCAAATTAATTATGTAAATATATTATTTGTTAACTAACTTAAAGTCTGCTTTTTTGAAGATGGA